CCGGGATTATAATTATTGTTATACATGTTATTAGCCCTAGCATTTGCCACGAAATTGACTTGTTCCTCCGGAGTGTTTGCCTCCTTCATTGCTTTGCACTCCGCCCTCTCATGGCTAGTGCTCGAACACCAATCACAAGACATCACTGGTCTCTTTCCTTGCCTCTTATCTTCGAGAATTACCTCGATCAACTTGTCAAGCTTTGTCTCGAGTGGAGTACTTGCTCCAACACTTCTCACTCCTCTATCATTCCTTCTCTTCTCGCTTCTCGTCAATCCCCAATCGTATCCCTTTAGGGCCGTGTCTTCGAGCAACTCGGTCACTTGAGATGGGGTCATATTCATCAATTTCCCTTGATAAAGAGAGTCAATGAGAATCTTGTCTTCTTGGATAAGTCCAATGTAGAAAGTTTCAATCGAAATTTCTCCTCGAACCCATGGTGAAGGCATTGAAGGAAGTAATCGGAGAATCTCTCCCAAGCATCTCTCAAGGTCTCGTCTTCCTCTTGCTTGAAATGGGTGATCGCCTTTCTCCACTCGGCCGTCTTCGAAGGCGGGCAATAGCGGCTCATGAATTTGTTGAGAAGATCGTCCCATGGTGAATGAGCGAAGCGGTCGCTTGTTGAGCCATCGGATTGCTTTCACCGCAAGTGAGTAGGGGAAAAGCTTCAGTTGCAAAGCTTCCGCTGGCATGCCTTTGATTTTCAAGCTCCCCGCGAGCTCAAGAAATCTCTGCCCATGCTCCCTTGGTGACTCGCTTGGGAGACCGTGGAACAAAGCATTGTTCTGTATCATAGTCACTAGAGCTGGCCTGATCTCAAAATTGTTAGCCGCCACGAGAGGGTGCAAGATTGGCGATTGAATATCTGTCGGTCGTGGGGCCATATAATACCCCATTGTCCTCGGGGCATCGTCTTCCGCCATCATCGTTTAGGTTGCAAGCTTGGGAGGCTCCCTCTTCTCGTTGGTTCCCCTCCATTTCTACTCCAATATCGGGTTCACCTTCCACTTCTTCAACTTCTACTCCACTAGCACCGGGACCAAATTGTTGTCCCCTTTCTTCACTTCTCCTCCTTGCTTCCGCTAGCTCCATCTCCCGTGCTAGGAGTCAGAGAGTTCGTTTTATGTCCTCAACCCGCGATATCAAAGGTGTCGGATTACTCTGGGTCATACACCTCCCTACACACACTTAGAGAACAACACCAAGTCTAGCAAAAGCAAACCAATCACAAATTCAAAACTGGAAATTAAAAGCTAGATTAACACCAAACAACCTTTTCAAGATAACGGACCGAAGTCCCCGACAACGACGCCAAAAACTGTACTCGTCCTGAATATCACAATTAATTCCCACCTAAGGCCCAAGTATAAACCTTAGTAGGGTGCAATATAAGGCATGTATGTTTAAATATCAACCCACGCCGGTCCATGTACCCCTACTTCAATTGTTTGAAACATTATCTAGCGGATTGGTTTTGGATGAAAATTCGATAATTAAAGTAAAGCAAAGCAAAAGTAAATGGTTTTGAAAGCTCTATGTGATAAGCATCACTCGGGTGTTGCTTCCCCCTAACTACTACCATGGCACGTGGAATCAAATTAATCGTTACAAGCAAGGTGACCGTGAACCGCTAGGAAATACAACTATGGTCGTACACCACACTCTCGATTGCCAAACCAAGGGATACATTATAGGCTACTCAAGCATCCCTCTTGGTCAAGTCAATCGAGGGTTGACTTACTCTCTCACTCAACCCAATGGTTGAACGGCTTAATCGCGCTTAACCAAAGTTTTTAATTCAAGATAGAGGTTTACCCTACATTAACCTAGATAGGTGGCTTAAAAGTAAAACCCAAGGATTCCCAACTAAATTGAGCCTCCTTTGAAAGGGGATTTTCCCTCTTAACTCGGTTAGAATGACCAATTGGATTGCTAAGCACAAACATGCACAATCATCATGCAAAATACCTCAATCATTAAATTAAACAATACCTTCAATTCACACAACAACTACTTGGTAAATAGTTAGGGGTTCACAACACCCAAGTGAAAAAGGAAACTAATTCATGCTATAAAGGGGGAGAACACAAGAGGAAGGAGTAGAAACCATCATGGTGATGCCTCCAATCTCCTTTGAGCTTGTGTTGATCTTCTCTTGGGGAGAATCTTCCCAATTCACCACTTGGAGAAAACCCTAGCCTTCTTTCTTCCTTGGTTCGTTCTTTCTCTCTCTAAAATCTGAAGAAGAAGAAGAAGAAGAAGAAGAAGAAGAAGACACTTTCTCACTCTTGGGCTCCCCCTTCTCTCTTCCTTTCAGCTCACATTTTATACAGGGATCGGGCTTAGTTCACGGCTTGAGTTCATGGCCGTGAACTCCTCAACGCGTCCGTGAACTCAAAGGGTTGCGTCAAAAAGCACCGCTTCACTTGCTCGGGTTCACCGGCAACAACTCCAGTTCACGGTCTTAGTGATCGTGAACTCGCCTGGCGCCAGTAACCTCTGAGATTGCTCTGGATGCCTTGTGGTTCACGGTTTTTGCTTCCAGTTCACGGTCTTAGCAGACCGTGAACAGGCCTGAAATCGCCTCTTTTCCCGGTCTTTGCTCATTTTCGTTCAACTTTCGACTCCTGGGAGTGGTTTCACCTGTTAGATCCTAAAATACGCTAAAACACAAGAAACCTAGCGTAAAACCATCCTTTTAGGAGCACAAATGCCACAAACGTCCAAGGAAAACGGGGATAATGTGCGTACAATTAGGCCCGAATCAAGCACATTATTTCTTGACTGTTGTTGATGATTACAGTCGTGCCTTATTTTTGATGAGATACAAATTGAATACCTCTCGGTATCTTCTTTATTTTTGCAATACGATTGCAACATAGTTTGGTGGCACGGTGACGCGCATACAGTCGGATAATGGTCCAGAATTTGCTAGCACATCCCTGGTTGTCTTTGAGCTGCTGTGTTCGGTGCTGGTTTTTGCCTTAGTCTTGCTTCTTTTGTTTCTCCTGTGTACTTGTAAGGTCTGCTTTCCATGTTCAGCAGGTTTCAGCGGGCCGCAGCTCTTGCTGCAACTCTTTGTTTTTGCTTTACTTTGATAACTAATAATATATTTCACCATTATCAAAAAAAAAAAAGAAGAAAAGGGCATTGTGCTTCAGAATTCTTGCACGGATACGCCTCAGCAGAATGGCCTTGTGGAACGTAACATTGGCATTTGCTGGATACTGCGAGGGCACTATGTTTCCACGGGAATCTTTCCATTAAGTTCTGGGGTGAATGCGTTCTTACTGCAACTTATTTGATTAACAGGATGCCACTGGTTTCTATTGGAAACAAGACTCCCTACAGCATTTTTTCGCAAAGACCCTGCATATGGTCATCTGCGCAGTTTTAGTTGTCTTGCTTATGCGTGCGACAACCATCACGGGCTGCACAAATTCGTTAAGAGGGGGAGAGCATGTATTTTTCTGGGTTACCCCTTTGATCAACGTGGCTACCGAGTATATGATATTCATAAGAAACAGATATATACTTCTCATGATGTTCGGTTTCTTGAGTATGTCTTTCCCTACTATGACATGGACAAGGCTTGGCTTACCCCTGTTACAGTTTTGTCGCCCCAATCCATGGTTCCCTCGTTCGTCATTGAGGATACCGCAGTTGAGGAAGCTTACAATGAAGATGTTGCTTCTCCTCTGTCAGCGCAGAGCACACCCTTCGCGGACTCGAGCAGCACGCCCCCACCCACTGATAGGTCTCCCTTGTCGTCCGTTCCTGCTGGAGCCTCTTCTCCCTTGCTGTCGTAGGCTACTTCGTTGTCAGCTTCTCCTTCCGCGCCGGCTAGCGCGCCTTCTGCTTCTGTTCCGGAACCTCCACCTCTTCGCTGCAGTGATCAAGTTCGGCGGCTCTCCACTCGACTCGCAGGCTACGAAGTGCAGCTACCTGGGACTGCCCACTCTGCCACTGCTCTATATCCGATGGACGACTACCTTAGCTACCATCGTCTCTCGGCTGCTCATCATGCATTTGTTGTTGCGGTCACCGCCATCGATGAGCCCAGTTCTTCTTCCAGGAAGTTCATTACAAGCAATTGTGTGATGCCATGCAGGTAGAAATCTTACCTCTCGAAGCCAATGACACTTGGACCTTGGTTTATTTGCCTCCATGAAAGCTATCTATTGAATGTAAATGGGTTTACAAGAACAAGTTCAATCCCTATGGATCCATTGAGCGTTACAAGGCGCGCCTCATGGCGAAAGGTTTTACCAATATTGAAGGTGTGGATTTCCATGACATCTACGTCCAGTCGCCAAGTTGGTCATCGTTCGTTGTCTGCTTGTTGTTGTTGTTACTAGGGGTTGGCACATCCACCAGTTAGACGTCAATAATGCATTTCTCCATGGTGATTTGGAAGAAGAGGTCTATATGAAGATTCCTCAATGTTTCTCACGCCCAGGGAACACACGTATTGGTCGTCTAAATAAGTCTCTTTATGGTCTGCGTCAGGCTTCGCGGAATTTGTACCAGAAGTTTACTCAAGCCCTACTTGAGTTTCATTTTATTCAAAGTCGTGCGAATCATGCTTAATTCACACATCGTCATGGTTCTGGTTTTGTGGTAGCCCTTATCTATGTTGACGATGTCATCATCACAGGGAATGATCTTTCTTTCATTCAACAGGTCAAGACTTTCCACCACGATCGATTCACGGCGAAGGATCATGGTACTCTAAAATATTTCTTGGGAATCGAGGTTGCTCGATCACCTAAGAGGCTCGTTCTTAATCAGAGGAAGTATGTACTCGATATCCTCACCGCAGCTGGATTAACTGATGCGCGCCCTTTCTCTACTCCGATAGAGCAGCAGCATCACTTGGGACGTGGCCACTCTCCTCCTGTGCGTGATCATGCAGCCTATCGTCGTCTTGTTGGCCGTTACTATACCTGACACTCACTCGTCCAGACATAGTTTATGTTGTTAATCTTCTCAGTCAAGCCATGCAATCACCTACTCAGCCTCACGAGGCGGTCATTGCTCGTGTTCTCCGGTACCAAAAAGGCTCCGCTGGTCGAGGTATTTTTCTTTCTTCTACGGCTCCACTTACGTTAACCGGGTTTTGTTATGCGGATTGGGGCAGCTTCCCCATCACTCGTCGTTCCACGACAGGTTTCTTTATCACTCTTGGTAGTTCACCCATTTCTTGGCGAACTAAGAAGAAGACGGTTGTTGCCCAATCATCCACAGAGGCAGAATATCGGGCTATGGCCAGTATAGTGATGGCTTCTTCGAGATCTTGGTGTTTTCTCTCCTACACCTACTGTTTTACACTGTGATAATCAAGCAGCTCTCCACATTGCTACTAATCCAGTTTTCAATGAGCATACTAAACGCGTGGAGACGGACAGCTACTTTGTCAGGGAGCGCGTTCAATCTGGTGAGATAGTCCTGTGAAGATCGCTCCGATCAACCAGTCGATTTATTTACGAAGGGATTGAGCGTTGATCAGTTCCATCATCTCTTCGTCAAGTTTGGCCTTCTTGACATTCACTCCTTCGCTTGAGGGGGAGTGTAGTTATCTCTAACTACACACTAATAAGTTTAGGGATCACTCTTGTAATTTTCATTCTCTCCACGTTGTATGAGGAGCAGCCGCACCTGCCGTTGTAACCAAGAGAGAAGAACGAGTTGTGATAATTAGATCACAACTACAACTTCTCATCTCACCATTAACTAAGAGGTCGTGGTCAATTCTATCTTAGACGAATATTATTTCTCTCATCAATTTCAAGCATATTATTTCATGGATCGGTCAAATCGCGAAAATTATTTACTGTCATCCAAGGCTATTTTGTACAAATATTAAGAAATATTCATGTTGATTGATTTTACATATTTAAACGGGAAATCTTGAATAGACTCATTGGTTTTACCCGATCCATGTGTAATGCGCATTGAATATTTCTTTTATTTTTATGTGGTACGAACAGAGACATTGCCGATACCATATGTTATCAGTTAAATCAAGAATACTATACACTAAATTGTCGAGTACTATTGTATAAATCAAGATTGTTTCATTAGTAAAAAATAATTTTCATAAAACCATATGAACTACCATGGTCTAACTGATCCACAGATTCAATATTCTAACCACTATTTTTTTTAAAATACCTTAACGTAAAGTAAGACCATCACCCATAATTATTAATTTTATTTCTGCTTCAACTTTTCACTTTCCAACATTGTTGTCGACTTTATGTGGTTCACTACAGACTGGCACCGTAATTTTAACCTAATTAAAAAAATTACAATTTCTTTTGTGAGACGATTTGAATGATTTATTAGATATTTTAGTTATAATATGAATTTGAATTTTTTTATGGTGAATAATAACGTCATTCTTAAATTAGTATAATATACCATTCTTGTATGTCATCTATCATGAACGGTTCTATCAACGGTTTTATAACGGTTAACCACTCAACTCTAAACCACTAACTTTTCCGGTTCATGTTCCGGTCCGGTTATACAAACATAGAAAATTAGAATTGGAATGGTATTGGCCAAGAATAGACGATAGTGGCTAGATAATAATAATGATGCTTTGTATATTGAAGGCCCATAAAAGTACTTTCGTGCTCAAAGGGAACAGTTGGATGTGTTGGTGTTCTCAAAAGCCCATATTATGCACTAAAATCAAAATGACCAAATAATCCTCCCGTGCTCTGCGCAGGAAGCAGCAAAAGGGAAACCAAAGGGGGATTGGAGGAGAACCTCCATATATTGATTGTAGGAGGATAGGAGGATAGGATAGGATGTAGGATAATGCAATTTTTGTCTTACTTTTTCTTACGAATAAAATTGAAAGGTGAAAACACATACAGTAAAATTGTCCAATTGGATTGAAAGTAGTTAATGAAATAGTTGATATTGTTTTTGTGTATATATCTAGACCCAATAGATCCATTTGGGTATAACCCAAATGATTTAACCCAAATAAAACATACTTCAAACCCAACCCAAACCCAAAATCGATAAAATTGCATATGGGTCCATTTGTGTCCAAACCAATGACCATATGGATCATGACATTTAGGTCAAATAACCCAATGGATCTACCCCATTGTCATGTCAAAGTGAAGCATACAACCTAGTTATACTTGAAAGAGTATGATGGTAGCTAAAAATCCCCTGAAGAATGGATTGTGATAGTAAATTTGGGATGAACAAATGAGTTCCATCTGCTGACAATTTAAAAGTTGTATCACTTGTCACCCTTTAGAGGTTCAAAGTGTCAGAGTTATTGGATCATGGACACAGGACTTGGATAATGAATGTTCTGCAAGAACATTTACATCCACAAGACAGGCAAAAAATTCTTTTTTTTCCTGAGTGATAACAAGAGAGAATAAGAATTAAGAATACAAAATTATCCAGAAATCCCCTACAAGCAACACCCTAGTGAACCCATCCAACAAAGTCGAAGACTCTAGCTCTAGACGAGGCAATATCAGTGCTTTACGCGCCACTCTATGGGCAACACTGTTGGTAGTTTTAGGAACCGCCCTAAACTCTATACAAACTGACAAAAAGTCTAGGATCTGACGACACTCCCGGAGCACTGGACCACCAAATGGAATTTTCTAGGACGTCTTGTCGGATCTGCTTGACGGCCACCTCGGAATCATCTTCCACACAATCACGTAATTCAAGGATCTTGAGGTCACATGGTGATAGCGTCTACTGCTACTAGGAGATCTGCTAGGTAGGGGTTGACCACTCTCTAGTAATGCACGTTGGCTGCCAACACCATATGTCCGTCTGGCCATGAAAATCAAGACCAGACAAGCACCCAATGTTGAACTTCAAAAAGTCTTTCAGCGACGACTCCAAGGAGGCAGGAGGTGGATTCAGGAGGAAAGAGCGGGAGGCGGAAGGGGATGAAGACTTCAAGAACCTGATAGTAAAATTGGCTGGCGAAAAAATACATCACTTCGTTGGCATACATATTACATTACCACTTACATTATACAAATATTTTAAGACTACGTAATTAATTACAGGTGATAGCCCACAGTACCAAGCAGTACTTTTTCAGACCGGCGACGTGGCAATGTCATGCCAGGGTGGCAGACCTTTTTACACAACACATGTAATACTTATATCATCTAGAAGTGGCAGCAAGCAGCTACCGCTGCTATCTTTCCTCCTTTTTCTACGCGCTTTTTTCTTTCCTCATTTTATTTACTAGTAAAAACACTCAGGGCGGCTGGAGCTAAAATCACAAAACTCAGAAACTATTAGGGAAACTAGTACAAACAGGCATCATTGTCTTTATGATGGTGGATGCATGCTTCTTTCTCTGCATGCAGTTTCTTTCTGGGTCTGGTCAGAAGAAATGAAGGATGTCCTTTTGGAAGGCATCCCTCTGGAGCAGAGAGGCAGCAGCAGAAGGACCAGATCCAGCACCACCATTGCTGATATTGTTGTTATCATCTGTTGTAGGGATGTTGTGGTGGTTCAGATTCATACCCATGAGGAAAGGCTGGTTTTGTTGATGATGCTGCAACTGGTGGATTGGGATGACACTGGAATCTCCAACTCCGCCATTGTTGCGGTTGTTTAGGTGCATGCCCATCAGGAGAAATTGCTGCTGCTGCTGGTTGGGATTAGGAATGTCATCCAGATCCTGCTCATGCTGCTGATTCTGGCTCTGGTTCTGCTGGTTGGCTATGGATGAGAGCTGTGGGAATCATGTAACCATAAGGCAAAACAGTGACAGAGATGGTGAAAGAATTATTTGAAATGTCTTTGTTCTATTTCTTTTCTTTTGAAATTTGTGATTGCACAAGTTTCCAGAATTACATGGTGAGATTTTACTCTGTTGTTCATTGTACCTCGTTTTCCATCAGCAGGTTTTCTGGAGGAAGAGGTATCTCCTGCACAAGAGGGAGGAAAATCTTATTGGAGTTGGGAGAAAAATGGGAAAGCATAGCACTTTTGAGGAATAACCATAGTGTTTACATTCTCCTATGTTTAGTTTTGCTTGTCTTTGTTTGTTTCAGGGCAAAACAAAAAGCTATTTTCTCGAAGGGGCATGCATGCACTTGGAAAAGCTGGTGCCTTTTGTGGTCCCTAAATCACAGTACAGTAAGTAGAAGTCTGAAACTTCTCTGTTTTATTCCCTGTGTCTTCTTCATATATGAACAAAAAAGAAAGCCAATAAAACAGTACTCGCAGAACCCATCAAAGTACTCGGCCTTAGCAGCAACTCCATTTTCCATATCCTTATGACCTTTCGTTAGGATTAGTGGAGCAACCAAAAGAACTATGACCCACTTGCTATTTCCCTTTTACAAAGGAACCTCTCCCCCATAACCCACTCCTCCACCTTCTCCCTTTCTTTTCTTACTGTTTTCTTTCTTCCCATGCAGATAGGTTCTAGCAGCTGCCTGATTGAGAAAAGAAATATCTGAACCTAGGCAATGACAAGATATGGCAAGTTGGCAGATTCAGTCACTAGTACACCAAAAACTGGTATATGGGACAGGCTCAGAATCCACAGCTAGGAAGCAGTGGTGTTCATGTTATCTGCAAATATCATACCCAGCCTTGTTTCTCTCATATGCATAGGAACTTACAAACTTTATACTAGTCAGTCCTACAAGTTCCACATTCATCAACTCACCTGTCAGCCTGCCACAGTTCATGGCAATTTCTTCCTAATTCCAGAACTCAAAAGCTATGTTTATCTGTAATGCGTTGTTGTTTCCTCAAGAGTTGGTTTAAGTTACCACGAGGAGAGACTAGGGAGAACGAACTAGGGATGCAATGAGTTTTTTTTTTTTTTTTTAACTATCAGAACTAAGCGAGACAGCAGATGTGTACCTGCTGCTGAAAGCCCGTAACAGATTGAATCATTAGCTCCGTCTGCATAAGGCCATCGAGATAATGTCACGAATTGCAGTTTCAAATCATATTTGAACATATCTACAGGTAGAATACACGATTATGATAACTGGAATTCACAGAGTGGGCACAGTGAAGAGTCGGATGCCTCTGTTTCATTGTTATGAATTCGGATGAACCACTAAGTGAAGAACATATTAGGAAATGTTTTCCCTCTAAAGCAGAGTGCCTTTGTCTAGTCAATTAAGAACTAGACCTTACTTGACTACGACGTAGCTTTAAATCTCCTAGCTAGACAGAGGAGTATAAGTATAATATCTCTGAACTTAATCTAACGCAAGGAGAAGGCACAGTATATCAGATTTGATCTTGAAGACTGACCTTTCGAACTTGGGCTTCCCTGAGCAAGGACTCCAGGTTCCTGACTAGTTGCGTGACTTGTGTTAGATCCAGCTGCACCACAGTCTTCGCTTCCACATGCCTGCAGAAATTTGCAGATGAGGACTGTAAATATGTGTTAAACACAAAGAGAAGTCCTGTAGGTTCGGTATGAAAGTTACCTCTGGACACTCAGCAGCAAGTCGGAACCAGCATCAGGAGTCCTCCATGCTGGCAGCTGCTTCTGCAGGATCGGACAAAGTCGGTGGTATGAGAAATTAGGATGAAGAGTTTTATGCATCTTAGATATTCCTACCATGTCATGTTAGACCCAAAACAGTTAAAAGGAAAGTTTCACTGGGAAGTGAAACATAGAAACTAGGCATATCTACGGTTTTGTGTCCTCGCGAAAATCAGGCAAGGCTTCCGGCTTGTTTTTTGTATCCTGATAAACCTGATCTTCTTGATTTTCAGAGTAGCAGAAATAAGTGTTCATAGAAGCAGCAGTCAGTAAAGTGACTATTAAATAGTACAGCCATGTAGTGAATATTTGATTCTCAGCTACTTCATTGTTGCCCATGTCAAGGGTCGTTGTAGCAGTGATAGTGGGAGTTAAAGACGTATATACTACTAAGAGTTAGAATTTTGGAGCCATTACTCAGCTTATAGAAAGTAAATAGGAATTATGGATTGCTGCATCTCTAATGAGAGATATAAATTACAGCATGAATTTGAGATAAATCTTGGATAGAAAGAGAGAAAACTACAGTATGAATTATCATCCAGGGAAAAGAAAGAAAAACTATTATATGAATTATCAGAATGGCATCCCTCGGTTATTAATTACAAGGAAGGAAAGAGGAGCACACCCTTCCAAAGGATTCACCTTTGGTGCAGTAAAGGAATCCACAGTGCGGAGCAGGGGAAGCATAGTGAAGAGGAAAGGATTTAGAGTGTGGAGAGCTAGAAATGCAAAATCAGAACTATTCTGTCACTCCTCTTCGACTATTTGTTATATATGGGGTTACATATAGCTCCAATACTGGGAAAGCACCAACGTAAAGCAAATTGTGGTTCTTTTTTCAAGGACCATACAAAATTCCTACAACCCATGCAAAATTCCTACCCCCTCTGAGTGTCTCTATTTCTGATATAACGGACCTATAATCTCATATATGTGATCCAGTATTCTAAAAGTTTGATATGCAGTTGAAGAAGAAACTGCAATGTCAGCAAGAACACATAAAACAAATATCATCTAATGTTTCTCACGAATCAAATAGGAAACATTAAAAGCTGGACAGCGAGGAGATGAATAAAGTATGTCTTGAAGAACCTCTTTTAGCACCGTCTGTTTTCCAGTTATGAGGCGATTGTTGTTTGTTCTATCAATTGTGTCTCTATTTCCTTTTGGTGTTCTTTTTCTTTCTATTCTGATAGATCAGAAGCAGATTCTGATGTTCCTCGGGTGAGCTTCTGTAGCATGCTTATAAGACTGCCAAAAGAACCGAAAATGCAATTGACTAGAGACAAAGCTCCTTTCTGAACCATTGTAGTTCTTACCTATCTTATCTTTTCTACAGATTATTCTGTCAAGCTTATTCGTCTCTTCCCATGACGAAGTTAGACAGTCTGAGTGAGTCAAGAATTTGAGGTATTAAGGTACCATGTGGATTTATTCTGTGGGTACTGTGATACCATGTCTGCTAATTACCTATATTCTCAAGTCAATAATGATACAATAGCTCGCTGTAGGGGAGCTAAAAGGCACAAACAGTTCAATTACAATTTATTAGAACAACATGCTGCAACTTTCTAGCAAGAGACAGAGTTCAAAATTCAACTTGATGGCAGTGATTGCATATTGAACAACTACTTGGAGTCTGCAGAAGCATTATCATCTGGAAATAGGAGTTCAATACTATCTGATAAGATATAGGGATCTGGAAAAAAACCTCAGTCCCGCTTGTATGCTCATTAACTGCAGCGTCTGCATCTTTGTGAGCCTGGTAGCGTTGGATGACTTTCTCTAAACTGTATATCACATCAATAGCGATATTAAGGCTCCAAATAATGCACAGGGCAAAAGGTCGTGGAAAATTACAGATAGGCAAGGAGGTGCACTCTGACAAATAATAGATACAGAAGTAGATTAGCTGTTTCCTGTGAGACTTTGGCGACCGTTAGCATCAGATTGAACTCGAGCTTTAGTGGTTTATAATTATGACGCGACATACTCTGTTGAGCTAGGAAGTTCTGATCAAAGCAACATGCACACGATCCACAGAACAAGCATCCATATTCGACCCAACAGCTAAAATAAAGAGCAAAACAACAAATAAAACATGCACATCCTCAACCAGATATGGGTCCAAGAGAACTGTTAGAAATAGAAAGGAAGACGGCAAGCGTCAAGGAAAGGGCCGAAACTCAGAACCAAACTTCTTAGATCGACCTAGCTGGTGCATTATTATATACCTCTGACTAGCCTGCTTTCTTTGATCGACCTAATTGAATATGATATGGGTAGTGAGCTCTTTTCTCAAAGTACGAGCTGTCTAACTAGTAGTGTGTTATGGTATTGGTATCTACGGTGAGTCAGCTTATTATGCCTTATTTTCTTCATTTCCTCTAAAAGGTATTCATATGACTCTTTGGTTTCACGTACTTCCAGTGTTGGTGGCCCTAGTTTGAAACATGCAACTGATCAAAGAGGATGTATTACCAACCTCATGGTCATTGTGCACAAGGTCTGTATACTCGCATGGAGGATAAATCATCCAGACGTCATATCTGTTTTGCTTGTCTTAGAGTCGATTTGGTGTTTTCTTCTGTAGTTACACTTACACATACATGAGGTGTGGAATTAAAGGTAAAGTGGTTTAAGGAGTACTTTCCTCAACACTTGCAATGCTCGCCTATAGTCATATATGTGAGGGGCTTAAGCGTTTGGTTCATTTGTCAAACACATGCCTCTCCTTTGGTATGCATCCAACGGTAGGGGTGGCTTGTTAGTTGTGAAACACAAATCTAGTAGGCAATATGGTACTAGCCTTATAATTAAGGGAGAGACCCATACTAATCTTACAGTTAGAGAAGGCTCTGGCGACTTGTCGAGTTCTTATCTTGTTGGCTTGCTTTTGAAGCCAGAGTTAGTGAAATTGCTTGATTATGTGTCAATTGACCCTAATAGATATACTTGTAACTAAGGGAAGCGCAACGACTTTTAATGCTTGTATGATATATACCCTTGTATATTCTATCTTGACTATTCTTTCTGCAATGTGCACTAACCATTGGTAAGTAGTGTTGTCAATCATGAGTATTCAAGCGTAAATAATTGTGTGATACTCTAAAATTTTGGTACCACATAGTTTTTATAAAGTTTTTCGAAATGTGAGGTTGTAATGATTTATTTGGTGAAAGTAGTGTGAGTTCTTGGTATACGAGTCTAGAAATGGTGCTTACAAAACTACTTTCAAATGAATAGAGAAGGTGATTACTACATGTATAGCATGGATGAGATCCTACAATTATTGGAAGAGACTCTCTTGCATACTTAATTGAGTACATAGTTATTGCAATAATGATGGAGGCATGGAGAGGTGTAGATAAGGGGTCAAAGGCATTCTTTCCATATATGGCCTTGTCCCTAGACCAGATACTACAAGTCACTAGTGTTATTATGGAGAAAGTACCCCTAATGAAGGTTAAGCTCTCTTTTAAGGTGTGATCATTAATTGACACATCTAACAAAGTGTAAATTGATTAGGTTTTGCGAGCGGGCACACGATAAAGCTTCAAAGTGGCCTCTTCTACAGCAACCTTATCCTACCTTGAGATGGGATAGAAGAAGAAAAGGAGAACAAATTCATATTGGCTCTTTCGGAAGGCTATATACTATCTAGGGCTACCCCGTAAGCCATCAATGACTCCGCTATAAGGACGATGCAATCACAACCATGAAACAACCTGCCTCTGCCTATCTATGGTTGGGAAACGGTGTTGTCTTGTCCAGACCAGACCATATATATGGTCTATGGTTCAGATCGACAGGCTGGAGTATAGATCACTGACTACACTGTCTGGTCCAAACCACGCCTGTGCGGTCTGGTACTGCCTAGTCCATATAGACCACACTCAACGAAAAATGAACAATTTGTTTAGTCATCCACAAAAAAATTGAACCAATAACCAAATAGAAAAAAAATTGTATTAAAACGTTAATTCTAACATGCATGAATAATTTTGACACCATTAATCTTAGTACATAACATAGATGTAAAAACCCAAATTGCAGCATAATGTCATAAACATTAACATAATTTCACATAGAGACACGATTAATTCTACTCTCTAGTGAAATGTGGTTGTGAATGAAGGAGGGGACGAGATTATCAAAATTAAAGTTGAGACTTGGGTGTCGTTGTGGGAGTTTGGAGAGTGGTCGAATGGGCTGTTAACACGTATTGAAAAGTAGGTTGGGTACAGGGTTTGGTCCTGTAAATCGCGGTCTAGACCAGACCAGACCAAAAAATCAAAACATCAAATATTATAGACCATGGACCAGACCAAACCATACTTAATGGTCTACGGTTCGATTTGGACCATAATTTTGCTAACGGTCTGGTCTATTTTTCCAGCCCTATGTCTATCTTTGGTCATTTTAATCAATGTCTGCAATGTTGTCGGTTTAATCAAAAAAAAGTTGTCGATTTAATCAAAAAAATTGCTTATCAGAGTCCAAGCCAGGATTAGAATTTAGTCTAATCTTAAAGTATTCTACCACTTACTTTTTTTATACTTTTTACAATCCTTTTTTTTTCTTTTCACTATAAGATATTCTCAACTCTTTATCCCTTGCCTAAGGGTTATGTGGTGGAAAAGGGCTAACTTGTCATGTAGTTATGGATATGGGCTTTATGATATAGCTCTCATAATGCATTCTAGTTTGTTTTGACATTTTTAGTTCAAGTTGAAGGTAGATTATATAATTAAAGAGCTTTAAATCCTTAGTGTCTTCCTAACCATTGTTTTATGTGTTTTAATAGAATAGTGTTTATATCACTTTTTCTTAAACTTTGCAGGTCAAGTGTGGAACTTCTTTTGTCTACAACTGCAAGGACCTAGACCAAGTTGCGGCAAAGACTCGATTAGCAAATGGGATGCTAAAGCTACTCGATTAATCTGTTTGTTCATATTTTGATATTTATGAATGGAAAGAAACTCGAGAATCTTATGTGGTAAAAAATAACATGTTCAAGCCATTACAACGAAAGTTTATATAGCCATTTGTGAGACTTATATTGCATTTAAACTCGTCACCTTAGACCTAAGGGTTATGTGATGGAAAAGGGCTAACTTGTCATGTAGTTATGGATATGGGCTTTATGATATAGCTCTCATAATGCATTCTAGTTTGTTTTGACATTTTTAGTTCAAGCTGAAGGTATAATATATAATTAAAGAGCTTTAAATCCTTAGTGTCTTCCTAACCATTGTTTTATGTGTTTTAATAGAATAGTGTTTATATCACTTGCTCTTAAACTTTGCAGGTCAAGTGTGGAACTTCTTTTGTCTACAACTATAAGGACCTAGACCAAGTTGCGGCAAAGACTCGATTAGCAAATGGGATGCTAAAGCTACTCGATTAATCTGTTTGTTCATATTTTGATATTTATGAATGGAAAGAAACTCGAGAATCTTGAGTGGTAAAAAATAGCATGTTCAAGCCATTACAACGAAAGTTTATATAGCCATTTGTGAGACTTATATTGCATTTAAACTTGTCACCTCATACCAAAGGCAATGCTATTCTATGTCGTTTGGCAATGGCTCAATCTCTTCTTTCTAACCTCCTCAAACCTCTAACAAACTATCCATCAAAAAAAAACCTCTAACAAACTATAGTAGCTATGTTTTTTCCAACTCTTTGTAACACCTTTTTGTATTATTGACTTAGTTTATCCTTATGTACCCTTCACTTTTTTATGGATATAAGCATGTATACATCCATAGAAAAGAACTTTAAGTCCTTGAGGATCTAAGATTGTACATGAAAAAATGGTTTTGATTCTAATATGTGTGGGTGTTCCAAAATCGTTTTGATTCTAATATGTGTAGATGTTCCAAAATCGTTAGATGTTGATATAGTAAGGAGAACATCAAATCATTTTTGCCAAAAGATAATAAACAATGTATTCATGTTATTGTTATAGAAGCATTCTATCCATTTTAGAATGGACTATTAGGGTTAATATCAAAGAAGGATAGCCTAGGGTATACCGATAAGGGAAGGGGGAAATTACTTTTTCACAGACTTTTGATTCATGCAATTGAGAATATGGTGCAACGATCACCATGATTGGACGTTCAAGATCATACTGCTGAAGATAGTTTTATGATTTTCAATTGTATGTCATTTGAATGATAATTATTGAAATCGTGATATAGGAGAGGTTACATGACGATTGACTTTACATAATGAAGAGAGATAGAAGGTAAGAGAGCAGTAAGTCATTTAAACATTCAGTATAGCAAAGTGACCATAAAATTATATGAGCTTCATTGTGGCATGAGTATTGTCGAAGGTTTTATCTACTATTGATAGGAAAGGGTGGTGTGGTGCTATTGAAAGCTTTTTCCAACCATTTGTTTATTTGCCTTGATCTTTTGGTTGCACTTGGGGTTTCTACAGCATTTGCATGTTCGTATTCCTTTCTTTTTCTGCCATTTTACTTAATAATACTAATTCAAGATTTAAAAGGTTTATGTTGAGTAGCAAGTCAAACGTGCCAAACCAACATCCAAGTTGAATTGGAGCACTCGAAATGTTTAATAAGTCATTTTGGGTCCTTGTATGTCTGTGGTGCATGCAAACCTTATATGTTGCAAGGTATCTCATATCCTATTGACATGATTCCTTTTCACCATGCTCTACATTTAACATACTTACATTATTCCTAGTCTTTGCTTGGTGTTGAAGACACAACAACTTTCTATCGAAAAAAAAAAAGACACAACAAATTTAGTGCTCTACCACCACCAATTTTAGTTGGACCAAATTGTGGAATCTGGGTTAAACGACTAGTGAGAGTATATGAGACTCTTTCCGGAGGTAGAATATCCTTGAGTTGATACTCGAAGTTCATAGAAACTATTGGCTATCCTAAGTGGAGATTCAGAGAAAACCAATGTTCACCATACAAGGTGTTAGATGATTCCAGGTTTATGACCACATTTTCTTTGTAAGTTCTTAGGGTCTATGATGCAACGATATGCCAAGTCACGGCTTATCGTCCCTAATCCATCCTATGAACTTGGGAGGGAACCGCATCACAAATATGGTTTGGAAAAGAAAATCCCAATGGACAGTGTCAAACGCTTTCATTAGGTCAACATTAATAGCACATCTAGAGGACAACATTCTTCTATGATAACCACTAACAAGCTCCTAAGCCATCATAATATTGTCAACAATTCGCTCATTCTTATATTTCTCCAAATGAGGATCATCATATGGAACACGAGGTTCTATTTTGACTTTAATCTTCGTTTTGAAACGTTATTTGTCATGTTAATCTTCACAAAGTTGAAAAAATAAAATGGTCTACCATTATTTTACTTGTTACTATTGGCCACCTAAACCGTGGAGAGTTGGTGGAGCAAGCCTCAACATTTTGATTTAGCATGCAAGCTGCTATAAGCCTAGGTTAAGTCAAATTATCTACGTCGACATTACATAATCCGCGAGGATAAATACAATAAGCCAACTACACTTAGTTACAGGTTGGGTTTATCAAGAATGGAATTCATGAGAGTAAATGAGAAAGCAATCAGAATCAATTGACTTGATTGCTCTAACTCTTCATGAAAATAGGCCAGCTAAGCAAATCATACATCAAGAGATAGGAAAGCTTATTACTCAATTCACCAACCTTGCCTTAGTGGCATGCATTCCGAAGGGTGAGTTGTGTTGTCTCGGATGGTAACATTAGATTTAACAACATGACAATATCCAAGCGGGGAGTCTTAAATGGATGATCAAATATATTTCAAAAGTTATTGTGTTGATAGCAGATTGAAAATAACGTTGAATTTATGAAACCTCATGATCACGAGATTGATAATGGCGGTTCTCAAGAACATTTTTAGAGATAAGTCAATGGATGAAAGTTGAGATTGTTGTCGATCATATTATATTAGTGTAATAACATCCTCGAGAGCGTTGTAAGAAGTAATTAAAGAGAAGGAAATGCCCTTTTTTTACCCATCAATCATATAGAAATGGTCTGTATTGTCTATTCTCTCTGATTTGAAGGTTGAAAAGGTCAGATGGTGATAAACTTGTATGACCTTTGGAGCAAAAATCTCAAAACGGTTTTGCATTTCAGTCACTCAATTTATTCTACCAGTTTTTGGATGAAGTTAAAATTGTGACATAAGACGAAGCAATTGCAACCAAATCCTTGCAGCTATAACTTTGTTGGGCTCAAACTCAGTCCTGCCCTTTTTCTAACTTTGTGCCAAAATAAGGGCAGTAGTCTATTTGACCCTTTCTCCGGCCCAAAAGACACCATGGAGACACCAATAACAAGTCTACGTGGTCAGACATCCATGCATGCACGGGGAATTGTGGCTCCAAAAAGTAAAAACAAAAGACACCATAGAGACACCAATAACAAGTCTACGTGTGCATTTGGTGTTTTGCAAATCGCTCTTACAGTCTCTAATAGAGTTAAGCAGAGTTTGAAAGGTTTAGCAACGTAAAATTGTGGCTCCAAAATGTAAAAACAAAAGTGGAAGACAGTGTATATCCTAGCTTGGATTGATAGAAAGATAGAGCAAGAGGCGTTTCTAACCAAAGAGTGATCCCATTTAGGCTTTGTTTCTATCTTAGCTTCGATAAACACTAGTGCAATACTGTGCCCTTCTTATTTTTCTACACGAGCATGCGGAGAATCTCATTTGTCAACCATTAAAACATGAAACATAAAACAGAACAGCATATAGGAACACATTTACAGTATATGGTATACACAACAGTCTACATAGTGGGGAAGGGAAGTTAGAGGAAGAACGATCGTAAAAGCAATAAATAACTTATACATTCATGGAGCAGCAATTAAGAAGGCGAAAGAAAGACCAACTTACATGGCATTTGAAGGAAGGCTCCTCTTTTTTTCATGTGAATATTAAAATCAAAACAAGTCTAGACAAGACTTTAGGAGTCGCAAAAGGTGAGATTCAGCAACTAGCGGCCTCGAACCAGCTCTATGAACCCGATATGCAGGAACGGCTACACCGCGAGAGACTCCTCTCTCTAAAGGTTCTGTAACAAATGATCATTAAAAGCTAGCAGTGTGGCACATGAAAGGGAGAAAAATCAAACTACCAAGGCAACACGAAACACAGCAAGATCGGAGAGGATAAGTTACAGACATTGTCCCTCTTGATCATGGAGGAATACCAGCCAAATTTGCATTTTTCAAGCCGTATATGACTGATTTGAGCTTGTTATTGGGTTTTATCTTATTGTGTTATCGTGATTTAGGTTTCTCGTTTACGACGGCCAAAGTAAACAAAGTGGGTGTGGTGGCCTCGGAGATGCCAATTGGAGCAAAAGAGTGTTGTTATCTACATAAGCATGCTATAAATTCAGCGGTTTCACGTTATCACGTATCTATTTGGTCGTATAACAAGTGGATGAGTGTGAAATGATTCAAGAGTCTCGCTATTTGTTGGAACCAAATAAAATATATGCATTGAATTCGTCTTCCCCGTACGTAATACACAGTCAACCTCTTCTTCTCGTTGAAATATGACACCGAAAAGCTCGACCCCCAGTTTCGGCAAAAAGGGGTATTTATTGGGTTCTTTTTATATTTTAATGTATTACACTATGCCTTAACAAAGCTGTTTTGTATTGTTGAATAGAAGTGGCTTCGTTTCATAATTGTTATACATTATAGGCGCAAGTCTCATCAGAATTTACAATATAAGTGTCCCTATGCATATTTAGGCAATCAATATCAAAAGAACTTAATGTCATCTAAAGCTCACTCTTTTCTCAATATTATTTTAATAGCTCAAGAACTTTGTAAGCTATGATTCCATGAACTTGTAAGCTACTTTTCTTATTGCTAGGTGCTAGTAGGAATGGCAATCAAACTCATGTTCGCGGATACCCGACCCAGTCAATGCGGGAAATTCCCGATTTGATCGGGTATGGGGCGGGTATGGGTAAAACCCGCAAAAAGTTTGATAGTTATTTGGCGGGTATGATTTTAGCCTCCTCCGCCCCATACTCATACTTATACCCGCGCCACCAAGAAAATTTCTTCACATATAAAAAAACATGTGGATCAAATTATAATCTATCAATGGTGATGAGGATAACTCGAAGAAATAAATAGTAGAAATGCAATTGAGTGACCACCTTAATAAAAACCTAATTCATTTCCCTCAATTCTCCTTTCACTCTTTCACTTTCCCCCTTGTTAACCAGAATATGTTAGTTAATTATTACTTAGTAGATGTATCAGAGTTAGAACATAATAATTTGAAAAATATAATACTCTATATTGTGTATTAATGGATGTTTCAGGATCATATTCTTTAAACCTTATTAAGAAAACGACCGTGTTTTGTTGACTTTTTTATATAATAGGTTCATTTAGAGTTATAATTAAAACTTTTCTTATAAGTTTTAGGTATAATAATGTTGGATATACGGGGACGGGTATTACCCATGGGTACCCGAAACCTACGGGTATGGGGATGCGTGCAAACATTCCCCCACATGGGTATGGGGCGGGTATGGGTTTGTGTATTTGAAGATGGGGATGGGGATTATTTAGACAAACTCGCACCAAACTCGCTCCATTGCCATCCCTAGGTGCTAGCAAAGTTATGATGGATCATTTGAACATAAGTACAAATGTGTTGTAGAACTGTTATTTTATTAATCATTCGGTAAAAACTATTATGAAACGTCGCCGAGTTAGGCACTAGGAAAGACTCCAATTTCCGCCTTACACCCAACGCCTTCTTGAACCTTGGTTTTCATTTTCATTATTTTTGAAAATTTCATTCATGTGACCATGAGATCATATATACATAGTGGTATTCAATGTCATTGCATAACATCAAAGAGACTAGATAGTTTTAAAACAATAAGTATCATCGTAGCATGCATTTCTCAATAAACTTTTATCTTTTTTTAGTGCCATTAAGGTGATTCAAACATATAGTCTTTTTTTTCTTTGGGATAAACATGCTAATTGCTAACGAAGGTTGTTAAAACATGTGATTGGTATGAGTATAGTTGTGGACTAGAGAGTGGTCTTTCATTCCATTGGGTTTAACTATTTGACGTGATTGCTCTTTTACTTTGCAACTATCCTTAATGTTTCAAACTTTGTGAGCTATTGAACCATAATTCCATGAACTTATGAGTAACTTAAGTGTTGTAGAACTGTAATTTTATTAATCATTTAGCACAAACTACTATGAAACAATGCCTAGGCACATTTAAGAAATGCCTAATCTAGTTAGGCGCTAGGCAAGGCTCAGACGGCCGCCTTATACCTTCTTGAACCTTGGTTTTCATTATGCATAAAAATCTTAATTCATATGACCAGGAGATCATATATATGTAGTGGTAATCAATGTCATTGCACAGCCCCAAAAGACTAGATGGTTTGAAAATACAAAAGCATAATCGTAGTGTTGTGCATTTTTAGGGATGTTATACATAAGGGTGACACATATTTCTTTTCAATGTGAGGTGCTACTAAGGGATTCGAACATACAATTTTATTTCGTGGGATAAACATGCTAGCTAAGGTTGTTAAAACATGTGATTGGTATATGAGTATAGTTATGTACCGGAGAGTAGTCTTTCATTCCATTGGGTTTAACTATTTGACGTGATTGCTATTCTACTTTGTACTTATCATTAATGTTTCAACCACAGTATGGTCTTTTATTCAAAAAAAAGTTCATTTCAAGAGAATTAGATTCTGCACGGTAATCAATAGAATTGAAGGAAACAAACCCTAATGTTTGATTACGATGAAATCCATCTAGAAATTACTCCCAAGTCCTAAACCCTAGGTCAGGAGACAATAAACTTTGCACCAATATCACATGGCATAAGTTCCAGTCTCCTATATTGAAAAGCAATCAGTAGTAATTCATATGGAAGACCATCAACCATTTCTAAGTAACGAATTCAACAGCAGCGAGACAGAAAATCAAAGTGAGTAGCGCGAAGCAAGGAATTGTAAAAAGAGGAGGCGAGGCGTGGCGCACCTTTCACCGCCGGAGAATTCGTAGAGCTTGCCGCCGGCGGAGAAGACGATAAGAGCAACCTCGACGTCGCACAGCACCGAGAGCTCCCTCGCTTTCTTGAACAGGCCGCCCTTCCGCTTCGAGAAGGTCACTTGACGGGTGCTCTTGTCCTCGATGTGGCGCATCTCGACCTTGCCTCTCCCCATTGGCGGCGAGCGGTAAGGAGTATCGGGAGCTTCCTTGGTTTTCTGGGGGTTGAGGCGGAGGCGGAGGCGGCGGGATGGCCAAGTGGCGGGATCTCGCGGTGCTACAAGTAGTGGAAGGAAAGCAAGCAAGTAGTGAGTCGATACTCAGAACTGTAGTGACCTAGGTCAGGTAACTACTCTCAGTCGACCACGGTAGGGCCGTAGCGGATCATGAGAAATATTACCGTAACATAAATGGAAAAGAATATCCAAAAGCGCTTTATATTGACGAAGAAAACGACATTGCTGAGGCAGTTAGGCGTGAGGGAACTTGTATATGAAATCATTAATTATAGAGTCTAACTTCTAATCCAGCGTTTTTACGACTTGAATATATAGTGTCTAAAAAGCAAAAAGTAAAAAAAATAAATAAAAAAACCCAATCAAGATTGTTTGTTTGTGGGATTATTTCGGGATGGGGTCCACCAATTATAATATATTGTCCATTTAGTTGGAATTTTGTGGGAGGCTAAAATTCATAATCATAAATGATCGATTTATCCTCGTCTCTTTACAATATCTTTATATTGAACTTCGAGAACACAAATTATCATATATTTGTAAATCCAGCCTATAATAAATAAATCTCGAAAACACAAATTCAATATTAAATTAAACAAAGACTTTTTTTAAATCCAACAAAATCACAAAATCTCACATAATTCTTCAATCAACAATTTTACCAAAATCATTTATTCTTTAAAATCCTAAAAGCAAACTGTCTCTTACTCTTTTTTCCATAGGAAACTTACAATACTGTCCAAAAGCACTCCAGCTTTTTTTTCTTTCTTTTTTTTTTTTTTTTGGGAAAAAAAAGGGGCAAAGAATGAAGAATGGTGAACACACAAAAGCTGGAAAAAGAAAAGTATATGCAATATGGAACCTAACATGTTGCAGAGCGGGAATAAAATATGTGGTGCCTTGTACAACTAGAGAAGTTGGGCGACAAGTTGGGGGCATATAGTTGGGTCGTTTTCGTTATTTGGGCTTTAATCATTGCACCTGCAGTGATTATGGGCCTCAGCCCTGAGGTAGTTGGCCCAGCACCCCGAATTAAAGGCCCATGCGTCAGAGAAAAATCAATGCCCGAGTGCTTCTCTTGATTCAAAATCAAAAGAAATGTAACCAAGTGTGGTTGGCTTGGTTAGAAGAAAGGCACAAACCCAAAGGACTGGTTCGACCTCTCCTAGGAACCGAATATTACAATTCAGTAAAGGTCAAAATTCTCTCTCTAACTTATTTTTCAATTTTGGACTATAAATGGGATCCCAGATGTTCAGATATTTTCATGTCTAATCCTGCAATTAGCAGTTAATAAAAGGATGGCAGAAACAGAGAGCACAAGATATTTTCACCTTTCAAAAAAACAAAAAACAAAAGGAGCACAAGATATTTCGGGCGAAAAGGCAGGCGAAAAAGGAAAGGGAAAAAAAGAAAACAGCTTCTTCGACGAAAATGGCGATCGCGGGAATTGAAAATTACCAGCGGCGGAATCGCCAGCTCAAAACAGTTCAAGGAAATCGATCGAGAGCGCGCGATTCCGCGGGAATGATAACCTAACAAGCGAGAATTAAAGAGAGATGACGAAGGCGGTACCTTTCACCGCGGGAGATCTCGAATACAGCTACCCTACCAGTGCCGCCGGAGAAGCAGACGGCGAAGGCGACGGCGGGGGGGGAGGGGGGGGGGGGGGGATTCATCCGTATCGGCGGCCGGCGACAGTTTTCCCAAGCGGAACGGCACTTGGATCAATCGCAGAAGTCCATTTCTTTCTTGGATGTGGAAATTTGGGGAGGAAAGCCTTTGGGGGAGAGGTGAGTTA